TGCGATGGTCAGTGCACTGGTTGGGTAAGACCATACCAATGCTAGATACATATAGTCCAATTGTGGTCTGATAACAAAAATGAGATCTTTTCCATTCCCCACACCCCACCTTTAATTTCCGATTTTGAAAAACTTTTGTAACGTTGTCATAATGCAATGAAACTTGGCATGGTGAACAAACTAACTCTTGTGTGAACGGATTTGCTCTTCATACTTCGTATGATTCGTAACATACGAATTTAGCCATTATATTACGCCAAACATTTATAAAAGCACAAAATTTGAAAAGTGTGGGGGGGGGAGTGAAACGAGCCCAAAATTGTTAAAATATTTTTACTCTCCGTCGAAACAACTTCAAGAATCTCTTTACAACCAAACATTTATAACATTCACGACGTTTCATGTTTTCTCATGAGAACCTTCACGACGTTCTCATGGCACTTGATTGCAAGTAAAAGACACACCCGAGTTCGTTTTTTGCATGGTCAAAACATTAATAAGGCTATTAGAGCTAGGATATTATTAACTTTTGCACGTGATTTTCAGTAGTCAGACCCAGAGTTTATTTTCACTGATTTTAATTCATGCAATGGTCAAATGCGAAAAGTTGCAGAATCTGGTACGTTTTTTGTCGACATTTTAAATCTACGCGTATAATTTGGGCTCTTTTCCAGTTCCGCCATTTGATGTTTTCTGAAAATCAATTCATGAAAGCCTATTAATAATGACTTTAGGTTCTTAACTGAGATAAAACGTGTCAGCGTAAGTGAACAAATTTTCAAAATTTTTTTACATGCAAATTGCCGTAAAAACAGCTGTTCAACAATTGTATATTTCGAAGCGGATGGGAAACCGTAAAAAAGCCATAATTTGTTTTTAATTAACGGATTTTTGATTCTTCTCAGGCAAATTTAAAATAATTTTCACCTATTTGCTTGAGGTGAGAAAGTTTCTTTTTGCGAGGTTTCTGTTTTTCTACGACCAAAGGTTTCTGTTTTCCACGCAAAATAAGGTGAAACAATACGACGCGGTGGTTACGTAGCAGTATTTAGACTACCGCTTATTCAGGTTCGCCAGTAAGCAGACAAATACTGTATTAACCAATCAGAATTGAGACAAGGAATAAATGAATAATTAATAATTATTCATTTCTTAAGTTTGCCTTTTCATCTCAAATCTGTTTGGTTAATATGGTTTTTGTCTACTTACTGACGAGTATGAATACGCGGTTGTCATAAATACAGACTGCACTCCGACGCGGTACCTTCTAAATCAGGTTCCAAGAAAAAACGTCATATGGATTCTGGCTCTTTTCCAGTCCCCCTTCTCGACATTTGAAAAACCATGTTCACATTGTTATATTGCAATAAAAATTTTCATGCTGAGCAAACTAGGGCTCTTTTCCAGTGTCCCATCATCTTCAAATTCAGTTTTAAAAAGCTTATTTAACGGGCTCTTTTCCAGTCCCCCCTTCCAATTCAATTTTGAAAAGCTTAATTAACGTTGTCATAATGCAATGAAATTTGGCGTGGTGAACAAATCGACAATTGTGAACAGATTTGTTCTTTATACTTAATAGCGTAACATCACGCGTTTAGCCGTAATAACACGTAAAACAAACCTAAAACTCGGTGGGGGGGGACTGGAAAAGAGCCCAAACTAACTATTGTGAACGCATTTGTTTTTCATACTTGACAAATCGTAACATCACGTATTTAGCTTTAAACCAGCCATAGTGTAATGAACACAAAACAACTTGGAGAATATAAATTTTGGAAAAGTAGAGAAGAGCCTTGTTTCATCTTTTCTGTTTGAAGCCCAAACAAGACAGAAATTTAGTGCGTGAAATGGGTAGTTTAGCTGAACTTTGCGCAATACAAATATTAAATCGATTTTCCTTTAACTAAACGATTTTTGACTCTTTTCCACCCCCTTTTTTTCAGTTTCGAAACATGACTTTAACGTTGTCATAATGGAATGAAACTTGGCATGGTGAAAAAAATCAACAATGTTGAACAAATTTGTTCTTCGTACCTAACAACATACTTTGCACTTTTTTTCTTTTTCGCTTTTTTTAAAATAAATTTAATTGCTCTAACCAGTGGTGTTGCAACGGTGAGTATGGAGAGCAAATATTTCTGGAGTGGGCTCGGCTCTTTTCCAGTTTCCCACCTCCTCGAAAAATTACAAAATAAAACTGTTCAAAAATTGTTCACACGGCATTTTCCATGTTAAAAATGCGGTACAAATTTGTTCACCTGTTCACGCTGGTACCTTTTAACGCAGATTAGAATATGAAAAGTCATTTTAAACAGACTTTCATATATTGAATTTCAGAAAATATCAAAGGGGGGGGGGACTGGAAAAGAGCCGTGGGCTCCTTTCCAGTTTTCCATCTCCTCGTAAAATTACAAAATAAAGCTGTTAACAAATTGTTCACACGGCATTTTGCGTGTAAGAAATGTTGTTAAATTTTGTTCACGCTGACACGTTTGGATGCAGTTTTCAACATGAAAATTCATTTCACTTAAGACTTTCGATAAATTTCAGAGGCGAGAATGGTGTCTGAAAAAACCTGCACGAATATAATTAGATTCTTTCCCATTATAACCCCTCAAGTTAATAAAAATGGCTTTTTTCCCCACCAGCTAAATTTTACTATTAAAATTTTGTTCACATCAGATTGTTACGAAAATTGGTATGCGGACTAATTAGGCTTTGAAAAACATACTTCATCTTGTAAAACCCCTCGGGCTCTTTTCCAGTTCCCCTTTGGCTCTTTTTCCTTTTCCCCCCACCTGCAAACTTTTACATGTAAATTTGTTGACCACATTGTCCAATTGTAATGAAAAATTACATACGGACTAATAAGGCTACGACAAACATATTTGGTCTCCATACATAACCTCGTAAAACCACTCGTTACACTAATATATTGAAGCTCGTGTGAGGTGGGGGGGGAGGAAAAAGAGTCCCCTCTTTGATATTTTCTGAAATTCATTATATGAAAGTCTATTAATAATGACTATTCATAATATAAACTGCGTTAAAACGTGTCAGCGTGAACTGGTGAACAAATTTGTACAGCCTTTTTAACATGCAAAACGCCATGTGAACAACTTTGAAAAGGTTTTATTCTGTAATTTTACGAGGGGAGGGGGGGTGGGAAACTGGAAAAGAGCCGGAAAAAGAGCCAATAAATTTTTTTATGGAGGGTTAAAAAGTTTTTTTGGCTCTTTTCCAGTTTCCCCCTCCCTTTCAAATTCAATTTAAAAAGCTTATTTAACGTTATCATAATGCAATAAAGGTTGGCGTGGTGAACAAATCGACAACTGTGAACAGTTTTGTTCTTCATACTTTACAGCGTAACATCACGCATTTAGCCGTAATAACACGTAAAACATACATAAAATTCGGTATTTTGAAAAGGGAGAGGAACTGGAAAAGAGCCGTTTTTTTACTAGGCTGGGGGAGTTATGACGGGAACGACTTCTATCTAAATCTATCTATCTATACTATATTGAAATGCGAGTGACAGCTATCTCCCATGTTTAAGCATAATAATTTTGCATGTTTAACGAAAGAATTTTTTTCATGTTTAAGCTATAGCATATATTGCAATGCTTAAGAATTTTTTTCAATTAGTTTTTCGCAAGGTCATTTATTTGTCAGTATTTTTTTCGAGGCCAAATTAAGTCTGTCTGTATACCTGCTTTTTAAATTAATTTGATTATGTCTGTCTACCCGTCGCCTAATTTTTTAACTTTCATCTATTATCTATCTATTATATATTTGAATGCGGGCTTCGCTATCTCGCCATGTTTAAGCTTTTTCAACGTATTATTTTTGCGTGTTTCGCAATCCCCAGAGTACTCTGAGGGGTTTCGAATCTTGCCTTCAATTCTCACTTCTCACATCCTTGTAGTTTTTGAGATATGACGTTTTTTATGATTTTCTCTGAAATTTTCTAAAAAACTTAAATATTAAAAAATTCCAAAACTTTGAGGATCTCCATCCTGTTATTGGAATCTGTTAGGGTAATCTCAGGGGGTTGCTAATCTTGCCTTTGAATGTGGCTGCTCAAATTTTTAGTTTTCGAGATGTGACGTTTTTTTTAGGATTTTTTCAGAAAACTTAGGTATAAAAAATTCGCAAAACTTGAAATTCTCATCTCAGTAGTGAGGCTCTGTCAGGGTACTCTCAGGAGTTGCCAATTTTGCCTCCCAATAGGACTGCAAATTTTTCCTCCAAATAGGACTGCTCAAAATCTTGCAGTTTTCCAGATATGACGTTTTTTGTAACTTTTTCAAAAAAATTTTCATGAAAATTAAATTAATTTTTTTTGAAAGTTTGAAATTCCTAGCCTGCAATTAGGGGGCTGTCAGACTAATCTCAGCGGTTGCAAATTCGGCCTCCAATTAAGAATGCCCAAATCAATTTTTCTTAGAGGTACGACGATTTTCGTTATTTTTTTGGAAATTTTCAGAAAACTCAAATTACAAAATAATTAGTTTAAGTGAAATTCCCAACCCTGTAGTTGTGTACTTTCAAAGATTGCAATTATTGCCATAAAAAAATTATTCAAATTTTGGTATTTTTTGAGATGAGATTTTTTTCTGGTTTTCAAAAAAAAATACTTCTTTTACAAAACTCAAGGTGAAGTTTCTCAAAATGTGAATTTCCCAACGTTGTAGTTGGGTACTGTATGAGCACTCTCAGGAGTTGCAAATCTTGCTTCCAAATGCGACTGCTCAATTGCTTTCAGTTTCCCAGATGTGACGTATAGAAAAACTTGTATAAAAACTTGAATTAAAAGTTTTTGCAAAATTTTTTATTACGAATCCTGTAATTGGGTGCTGTCAGAGTACACTCAAAGAATCGTTTTTTGACTTGTTGAAAATTCGAAGCACCGGAGGTGCGGTACACGCTAGTTATAATGATTATGAAAAGCTGGAATCTACATGTGTTCATGAATCTTAATTAAGTTCTTTTTTTTCAAGAAGATGGCATAGAACGTAGAAGTAGTAGCGGCGATAAGCGTTGGGAAACTACTATTCACAGTGCCTTAACAGCCTCTCTCAAATCGACACGTGCATCAGGTCGACGTATTGCCGCAGTGCAACCATCTGCGGTGTTATTAGAATCGTTTGCTGTGATAGCTTCGCGCAACAGCCAGCGTGCATCTTCATCTGAAGTTGAAATGGCCCCTGTCGTGTTGTCTGCCAGCCTACAGGGTTCAGGAGATATTTTGGTTCCTGGAAAAGCCGGAGATCAAAGTGCTCATCTGAACACTGAAAATGAAGAGCAAAGTAAGTTTGAAATGCAGGTTTATTTCTGTGACATTTTTGTCATGACATTTAAACCTCATGTCGGTTTTTTCACCATCCCATCAACCGAAAAAAGTGCCAAGTGGAATGCATATATGATTAGATGCTACGTGTAAGAAACACGGTTTTTCTAACCAGAAAAGGAAAATAAAGCTGATCCTTCCCCTTAAATATAGCAATGGGTTTAAAAAGTTTCTGAAAGCTTCTCTCATTTGAATATATATTTTTGAAGTTAAAGATGAAGTCAATATTATTTCCCAAATGATATATATCTCTCATCTGGTAATATGATATTATGCTTTAGTTGCTGCTGCAAAAACAATTGCTCAGAACTTTGGCCACTCAACTTCCAGGTTGGCCAAAAACGCACCAAATTCCAATCAGGGCGACAAGAACACAGAAGAGCAAAACACAGCTGTTGGCACAATAGATGCAGCGCCTCGTGATAATCTGAACGATAGCATTTCAGCCGGTGATTCGAGCAGAAAACAGGCCATGTATGACAGAATGCTTGCTGAAGACGCAACTTTTGAGTTGCAGATCTCGAATTGCAAAGGAGACGACGCTGAGCACCATGCGAGTAATGTGAATGGTCATGGAAAAATGACAGGTGTTTCACAAGAAATGTTCAACTACCAGAACAGAGCAAGAAGCAATAACGAGAGAGTAGTTAATGAGTGTCGTAGTTTGGATGAATACTTGATTGCATTGGATGTCGGTGACAGGAGGAGTAAAAGTCAGAATTCAAACGAAGTGTCCTTCATCGACAATGGTTCAAGTAAGACCTGTTTAAATGCAAGTGGCTTAGTTTGTAAGATTTAGTGCAAATGATTTGTGTGAGATATAGTCTTGGAGAGATTGCAGATTATGATAATCATTTCCAGCTGAAAGTTTCCTTGCTAACGTAAAAAAATGTATGTATTTTTAGCATAGGCGTTTCGACTTTGTGTATTTCATGAGAAAAGTTGCTAGTTCGTTTCATTAAAGCGGAGTTTGTCGAAAAGACATTCGTTTGAACCGTCGTTTCTTGTAGTAGGCCATCACGCAGGTGGAGATGCCTCGTTCAGCTACAGAAGGGGATCGGACAGGGCCGACACTCCGACGGAAGACATGCGGGAACAGGTAGAACAGGAGAGACTGAGGCGGAAACACTGCGAGGACCAGATCAAAGAGCTTCACTCTAGGTCAGCTAAGCAGCATCCCTGGCTGTACTTGTTATTTTTATCGATGATTAGGCCAAATGGACGCTTTTCCAGTTTCCCACCCCTCTCGTAAAATTACAAAAAAAGGTCAAAAAATTATTCATACGAAAATTTGCATGTAAGGTTTAGTGTAAAAATCTGTTCACCTGTTCAAGCTCTTACACGTTTTATTGCAGCTTAGAGCATCAAAAGTTATTTTCAAAAGACTTACAATACAATTGTATATCGAGCTCCAGAAAAATCAAAAGGGAGGTGGATCTGGAAAAGAGCAGCAAAATGTAGTAGGCTGGTACTAGTTTAGCTTTACATAGGACCCTTTCTCATTTTGAGCTTCAATTTGGTGTCTATTTTAGGTGTCTAGATTTGGAGCAGCAACTGGCAGTGGCTAAAGACTCGATCCGGAAGAAGGACAACAGTCTACAGGGTCTGGACCAGACTATGAACCAGCTGATAAGCAAATGGCGCTCACAGGAGAATGATCGCCAGGTATGAAATGATCCGAATTGGGAACAAATTAACATCCCCCAAAGTGGTTAAGGGTGGAGGATGTTTACTTGGTTCTACGTGAGAGTTTTCAGCTCATCAGAATCGAACATTTTAATCGCAGCGCTGAGCAAGTTTGATCTAAACTGAAAACTGGGGTGGGGGATATTAACTTCTTAACCTGGTCAATCTAGTGGGGAGAGGATGTTAACTTGATAACGTGATCCCCAAATTGAAACAGGGGAAGCGCGAGATGTCATATAATTTTCAGAAAAGTTAAATTTTCATTATTGAGATTTGTTACAGTATTCTCTATGAATTACCTTTGGATCATGTTTGAAATAGACATTTAGGATGTAAAGTTGTATGTGAACAGTTCAAACAGAAAAAATTGCTTACTCTAAATCTAAGTTGTTGCAGGAGAAGATAAAGGAAACTGTGGCTGAGAAGGATAGACTGGCGACAGCTGTGAGTAGTCAGCAGGGAGTGATTGAGACATTCGAGAAAGACTTCACAGAGGCGATCGGACAGATCGAGTTCCTACAGCAGAAGAACAAACGTCTAGAAGAGCAATTGCACTCTACCGTAGAGGTAGTTATGCTTCAGTATAATTCAATAGATAAATATGAATCAAAACATTCAATCAATAAATTATTCAATTTACTGCAAACTTAGAGAGGATAGAAGAATGGCATCAGTAATACCCGCTAAGACACTGACCTTAAAAAGATAAGCACGCTTTTAAGTTAAATATATTTCGAATTAATTATACTAACAATAATAGAGTAACAAAAAGTTTAAACCAAAAATTGAAATCTGAACAATGAAAGCTGCATAGTAAGGAATTTGCAGCAGAGGTTAGTCAGTATATGCTTCAATAATCAACCTCCCCCCTCAGGAATTCAATCTAGCAAATCCCACATCCTTCGGTAATATTTTATGACACTTATTTTTTACCAGCCCAAAGGATTTGACCTGCTGTAACAAATTTTCTCGTATGATGAATGATGTCGATGAGTTTTTTCGCAAAACTTAAGGAAATCCTGTATAACTTTCCAAAATTGTTGCGTAGTTTTTTTGGCAGTTTTTTTGAAGTTTAATCCAATCTGAAAACAGTCGAACTCATGGAAACGTTATATTTTGCGATCAATTAACTTGCGTTCCTGATAGGGATAGTTTTTATTACACATACAACAATAACCTTCAAATGTGCTCATTAATTGTAACAAAGCTGGAGGCTTTGACTTTTTCTGTTCAAAACGCCTTCTCACAAGTTGATTTATGTATATATTAAACTGGCAAAGAATGTTGATCGTGGCCCTCAAAGTTAGTAATCTTTACCACCGTTTAAAAAATCAATGAGTTTAAATAGCAAGATAATCAATTATGGCGCGACTGTTCTTAGTTCAGCAATGGAATATAACTATTTTGTTCATGAAAATAAAGCGGATAGAGTTAATTTGGAGATATTTTGCCATATTCACTGTCCCTGATATGAAAACTTTAACTTCGTGATTGCGACAATCTATAATACTTCTAGTCTGGAAATGTGCTGAATTATGGCTTTCAGGAAAAGAAAGCGGATAGAGTTGAGCTGGAGAGGAAAATAGGAGACTTGGAGAAGAAGAACGAGGGCTGGAAGGGGGAGAGGGAGGAGTTACTGAAGCAGAAGAACAAACTAGTGAGTGAAAGGGACAAGTTGAAAAAAGAGGCGGAGGAAACTGGGAAAAAGATGGATCAATTGCAGAATAAGGCCAACAAAGAGGCTTCTACGGAGAAAAAGTAAGCGCTTTTTTGAGGGTTTCGATCCTAGAATCTCATACAAGTCTCATTGCCCAAGCTAACTAGCAAGCGTAGTGTTATAAAACGAATCCATTTTTTTCCAGCCCAATTCGCAAATATAAGTGCCCATTTGATGGCACTTTTGCTGGCAAAGCATTGACATTTTAATAGCATATGATATCTTCATCTTGGGCTATTATTTGCCTTTAATGAAGTGACCGTAGCCCAAATGCGAGGACGTAAGTTTTCTAGTCTACAGGTCGGCGATTACCTTCTTTAGGTTTGAAGGTAATTGACTTCTATAACAATCGCAGCAACTTTTTTCTGATTTTTGAACATAGTTTCTTCAAAAATTCATTATGTTTTTTAATTTTCGTTTAAGATACATTATCTTTTGATTTTTGTAGCTTAGTTGTTTATCGTAAGTGATGCGAAGCTCAGAAGCGATGTTATTTATGGCAGATCGATTCCGAGACTTAGCCGAGTTTTTATAAGTTCGAAGTTTTTTCTACTTTTTCTTATCAGACGTTACAGAGCTGTCGTGTTCTTGCTAATGTTTGCGAAGCGCAGCTTCGGCTCTGCGTAAGAAATACGAAGTTCTGTCAGGTATCTAGACTTTTGAGAAAAGGGAACAAAGTTTGGAGAGCTTTAAGACCATCTTTTTTTTTGGAGTTTCGGATGTTGAGATTGTTTCGAAAACAAACCAGCCTTTTTTTTAAACCTACTTGGCTCATTACCTCTTTTCCAAAGAGCTTTAGGATAATCTTTTTTCCTCGGAAGATTAGTGTGCGTGTGTTTCTTAATTTGAAATTTCTTTTTCCGCTGGGTAATTATAAATTCAATCAAGTGTCAATCATACATCGTTCTTGAAATTGGCTTTATTTTTTTATTTCTAAATTAAACAGTTGAAGTTTTTCAAAAAGAACTGGCTCAAATTTTGTTCAAATTAGACTGCTCTGATTGATTGCTTTTCGCATTTTCTAAAATAGTCATTTTCAATGATTTTGTCAGCCAATCGGTATATATTTATCAAATGCGTTACACGTATCTCGCTATATTAAAGCTCTTTACAACGGTTCAGCGCAATAGCATAGGTTTGCGCGTTTCAGTTATAGTAAATACAGGAATGCTTCAATGAAGGGGAAGGGCAGTGCAGAGTTCGGCACTTCAAGAGTGGCATCCATCCATGTAGCCGTCCTTGCGTTCAGCCATCTAGGTATAGATCCGTCCATCCATGAAGTAATCCATTTGTCTATCCAAAAAACCAGCCGGTGAGACAATCATTCATCAATCGGCTCATCTTCCATCCATTCATCAATCATCCATACCATTAGCCATCCGTTCGGCCATCCATTTATCCACAAAGCGTTTCGTTCATCAAGCGATCCCTCCATGTAGACCTTGATCCTTCATGTCATCCATCTATCTAGCCATCGAACCACCCAACCCACGATCCATCCAAGCAGCCATCCATTCATTCAGCCATCGATTAGTCAGATCATTCGTCCGTCCGTCCATCTAGTAAGACAGCCATCTATCCAATCAGTTGTTGAGCCAATCTTTCTTCAATCGGCCCATCTTTCTATCTATCAAGCCATCCATCCAACTAGCCATCCTCCCAGCCATCCATTCATGCATCAAGCCTTCCATTCATTAAGCGAAGTATCTATATGGTCATTTTTTCATTAAGTCATCCGTCTATCTAGCCATCAATATAGACAACCAGCCATTCATCCAGCCATCCGCGTTCAAGTAACCACCCAATCAGCTGCCCACCATCCAATCAGCTATTCATCCATCGAACGAGGCCCTCGTCCCTACAGTCATCTATACAGCAAGCCTTTCATTCATCAATCCAGCCATCAAGCCATCCTCGCATCTAGCCTATCCATTCAACTATATTTCATCCATCCAGCAAGTCATTAATAAAATTAATTCCTTTAACCATCAATACATCCAACGAACCATCCAACCGCTCATCTATCCTGCCATCTTACAGCCCATTTATCTAACCAACTTTTCATTCCGTCTTCCAACTACCTATCCGTTCATCGGACAACCCTTTCAGTCAGATAACCAAGCATTTATCGATACATCTGGCCATCCATCCATCCATTCATCTAACCATTCAGCCAATCATCTATTCAAGTATCGATACTCGATTTAGACATCCATCCATCTCGCTAATCATTCATTCAATCATCCATTCATTCAACCAGCCATCCAAACTTTCATCTAGCCATCCATCTAACCAGCCTTCCAGCCATCACTCAAGACATCCAAAACTCCAGCCCTTCATCATTCCAATCAGTCATCTAGCCAGCCATTTATTCGTTCATCAACCCAGCTGGCGATCCGTCCAGCCATTCATCCAACAAACTGTCTAGCCATCCATGCGTCCATCCATCTATCCAGCTATCGATCCATCATCTATTTGGCCAGCCATTCGTACATCTCGACATCCGTCCACCCATTCAGCGGTCAATCCAATCAGCCATCGATCCATGTAGCCACCCTTCCAACCAGCTATCCATAAAGATAATTATTGTAATTTTCAGGTGCAGCTTTAGAAGTAGTGGGTTTGCTATTTCTACTGAATAGCACGTCGAGTTGAACCTCTAAATGTTTCCTTTCCATTTATCATCTTCCGTTTTAGCCCATGTTATTATCTCCATTTCTTTCTGAATTAGTTGATTAAAAAGTTAAAAGATTAAAAAGTTAAAAATTGAATGAACTGTTGTTGCTTTCCAACAACAAGTAGTCGCTGATTGTTCCCAATTCGTCGATATTTTTCAGATACTTATTTCTTTGTAATAACGAATTGTTTCATTTATGTTTCAGAATTGTGTTTTACAACAAATAATAGCCTAGTAAAAGAACTATTATCAATAAACAAAATTAAGCTTTCGGTCTGATTTATTCGGTTTAATTTAGTTGGCGTTCGTCGCCATTTAACACTGTGCGAGCTCTAATTATTTAACTCGGAGTAGTTTGGTTAGTACTCCTTCATGAAACTGCATTCGTTACTTTCAGATCAGATTTGAGTTCTGTTGAAAGTTAATTTTGTCAAGCTAAGAAACTAATTTCAAAATGGTGACTCCGATTCGATATGCAACAGCGTTTTCTGATTTCGTGCTCGTACTATGCTGTGTTCAAGCCATTTACAACGTGAGATACTGCTCTGTTTTTGCAATGTTCAGTTTTACAATAATCGGAAGTGCAGCTTCGCTTGGAGTAGTGAAGTTCGGAACTGGTAAAATGGCAATGTACCACGAGAAACTGTCAAACATCGCGGCGTCCTTGGCGATGCCTCTGATTCTAACGGCAATCATCAGGAGCTTACACTTCCACGAGGTGTACCAGGGATCCTTGGTTCTAACAGCGGGTGTGGTAACTCTGACGGGCAAAAGAGCATACGGAGAAATGCTGGCAGGGTTCTGCATTCTATGTCTAACTGGAATCAGTGTTGCTTTTCGAATCAAACTCTTGGCGGTGGCGTGTGCGCTGTATGTTGTCTCGGCGGTTTTGCTCAACTTCAAAACTGTCATGGGATTCATTTCGACCACTGATTTGTTCCATTACTTAATATCTGTCGCTATTATTTTGTTCAGCCTCATTTTGAGTGAAAAGTAAAAAGTTAAATTCAAATTGATCAGAAAAATATTATTTTTTAGAGTAAACCAAGCGGTTAGAAAGGAAATGCCAGTTGCGAATGAATGAAGTTAGAAGCGCTGCTCAATAAAGGGTAAGCGGTGCTTAAAAGAAAATTAACGTATTAAACAAACTTATTTCTCTTCCTTTTATTTTTTCAGCTTAAAATCTTAATTTTTCATCACGCTCAAATTTGATTTCTCGCATTTTTTTAAATTTATTTTTATACTCAATGAAGTTCATTCGGTAAATAGAAGGCAAACTCCGCTGTCAAATAACAAGAAAAGGGTAAAAATATTGATGGATTTTAGATTTAAAATAAACTTCAATTTTTAGAGATTCTGACGGAATAAAAATAGCTTTTCATCCAGTGTTCTCAAATTGGGTTAGTTTCATCAAACAATTCTCAATCACAGATTATTTTGGGAATTCAAAGCTATATATGCATTGACATTTTTCAACTGTCTTTTGGCAATGTTTGGGTTTACCAGTGAAACAAAGAAACCTCCTACTGATCCAGTTTTTTTTAATTGAAATATTTTTAAGTTGGCTGTTAGGCCGCCTTCACCCTTCAGATAATCTGTCCGATTCATTTTGATGCGATGGTTAGGGCCTAATATGCTGTATGTTAGTGCAAATTTTCATGATCTGCGTTAATAAATTAAAGAATCTTCAATTTACTTCAAAAAAAGTGCCTGTTGGTTGCTTTTAGTAGACTACTAATTGATTTTTCTAGATAGCGATAATTTTGTTTGGACCAATGAAAAATTATTTAAATATAATGACTACCAAGTCTTGATGATGAACTGTTAAGTCTTGAGAGTTCTCTCATTAAAGTGAGTCGAAGCAATGGTGGTGCTCGTTTACTTCTTCAGATTTGTTTTCTGATGAAGCATTACGATTTTTTTTTGTTCCGACCATTGAAAATAGGGATGAATTTTGGATTCGGGTGTGTTTCAATTTTTGTTCCGACTAATTTCAAAGTGTGAAGGAACTCTATTCAGGCGTGTCTTAGTTGTTTCTCTTTTTTTGTTTCCCATGTAAAATCAGGTACCACAAATGTGTACGAAATGGGTTGAGTTATATATCATATTAAAGCGCTTTCACTCGTGATTCAAAAACATTTGAAAATTTGCACAATTTTTCTCATTGTCGAGAAAAACCGGTTCGAATTTTTGGTTTAATTTCGACTTGCATAGCCTTTTAAGCTTAATTTTGTGTTTGTTTTTGGCCAGATCTCTTTTATCACACCACACAGAAAAAAAACGAGACTTATTTGAAAACATTTGTTTTGTATTTTTTCAGGACTATGCTCGGAACACATTGTATTTGCACAGTAACCGGCTATC